TGTCCCAATGTGTAAGTTCGCCAGCTCTTCATTTGACAACTTGACTTGACACAATTCTTATAGTACGAGGCTGGATTTGTCAAGTTTCATAATTGAAGACCAGGATTTGATGGGCATCCTGGAAAACTGTAGGTCTGTGAAAGAACTGTCTATAGCATGTTGCCTCGGAATCACCAGCAACGGCTTCGTCAAGGTTTTGCCCTTTCTGAAAAATCTGCGAAAGCTCGATGTTTCAGTCGACAACCTTGATGATAAGTGTTTTTGTGAGATCTCCCAAATGTGCCCACTACTGGAAGATTTAAGCTTGTGGTTTACAAGCGTCACGCGAACTGGGTTATCTTCTATCATGGAGCTTGCTACCAACTTGAAGTCGCTGAATCTGCCACTATCTTATAGAACTCGTCTCTCGGAAATGGAAGCTATAATGAAGGAGAAGCCGCGCCATCTCACAATTGCCATCTGTAAAAGCACGCTCTGGTACGTTCTGGCGCGGGACGGTTGAATATTCGGAAGATGACCAGGACGAGGGTTGGAATAACCACTTGCCATGAATGTGGTCATGTGTCAGTGTTCCTTGACCAGCAAGCATTTGATTGGCATATATAGTGTAAATAGTGCAGATAGAGCATGTATTTAAAGGGGTGTGGTAGCCATGATTGTACAGCACCATTCGAAAACTTTGTGCATTACACTCTTCCATAAAAAGAAACTTGGAGTTTGACGTCCATTTTTTTGAATAATTTATTTCAGATTTAGACAAGTACACGTTACTGGCGCTTCTCAAGAAAGAAGAACGAGGCAAGTAAGAGTGACAAGTGTAAGGATAAAAAGATCATGAAAGTTGTACGTTCGCAGCAGCGGCAAGATGAAGATGAGACGGAGTTATTGAACAAATAAATTAGTGTACCGCAGACGGGCACTTGGTCTTCAAAACATTCAAAATAAGAATCGGACGGGATAGTGTCAACCAACATACTGAAATACATCTACAGTCTATAGGCACAGTGGAGATCATTGAAGGCAAAATAAGGTGGCTGTCTGGAAAAAGGAGAGACCCCTGCACCTAGAGATTATAAGCACTCAGGACATCTTGATTAGGTGACGCATGAGATTTCTACACTTGATACGATGATTGGACACGATTCCACCAAGATGTATAAGGTTTATTGGGTGTATCCACGTCTTAAACAAAGAAGGTATTTCTACTCAAAACCGTCTCTCTGTTCAAGAACGCCCGGTTAATTGGCAGAGCGTGAGGACATATTTATGGTTGGCCTCTGATACTCGGAAGCTGTTTCTCCTCAACCTCAAGATGCGGGTTCGGGCCCCGCACCGGGCAGGATTTTTTCTTTTTGGATGGGGATATTGTGCCTTGACCCCATGCATTGGTGCTGCGCAATTCCCCCTCACCCTAGGCAAATGGAATCAACGCTAAATCAACCACATAAATTCCCACCAACCGATTTGAACACAGCTCACACTTTGCAAATCAATTCAGTCCGCCAGTGAACCCTCTTTTTTTTCATAGCTCATCGTTCTTCCTCAACGATGCCATAGTAGAGTGATGTCGGGACGTAAGTTGATGTGTTTGTGGATATTATTTCTCCCTTGCTCCATACCCATATATGACTCGAGAACCGCCCAACTTTCCAAATCGCCCAAATGGCAGAGTGTGAGAACAAAATAGTGGTGCTTAGCCTCTGAATATTTGGAAGCCTCAATTTCAAGATGCGCCGGGGCAACTAAAAATTCTTTTTTGTCATTGTTGCATTGATGAGAGATGTGTGAACTAGACCTTCATTGCATTGGGTGCTGCGCAATGCCCAGATCCTCAAGGTCTTGAATGACTGTTTTTGTGAGATCGTCAAATTGTGCCCACTATTGGAAGATTTTTTGCCTTGCGGACCACAACCGTTTCGCAAATCGGAGTATCTTCTATCATGGAGCTTTCTATCTACTTGACGTACCTGAATCTGTCGCAATGCAATAAAATTAAAATGGCGGAGATGGGAGCTATCATGACGGAGAAGCCGCCGAATCTCACAATTATCACCTGCGACGGCTGGACATTTACGGGGATGCTGACAGCGATGACAATTCGGATGCTGATATCGACGATTGCGACGTTTAGCAGTAAATAATACAGATAATTAGGAATGCACATATATGAGCGTAGTGGGTATGATAAAATAGAAAACACCACTACTCAGAAACAGATTTTATTGGAACATTCCATGAACAAAAGGAGTTGGATTCCAATATCTATCTTCACATATATCCTAAGCAGAATTGCAAATGTGTTTCCGGTATTTTTGGGGCTATAAGTTTGACTTTGGGTCAAATATGAGACAAAAGCCGGTTCCCGGAGCAACTCTTTGTCGGATGAACATTTCAGAGAAGTAGATGAAAAAACCAAGTATGTGTAAGGACAAAAATAATGATTGTTACCATAGAAGCAGCAGCAGCAGCAATGGCAAGGAAATGAGACGTAGTTTCGATCAATTCCATTAGTGTACAAACTTTGTACATTTCAGCGTAGAGAGAGTCGGACAGGATATACGTACCAAGTCTGACACGGTCAGTAGAGAAGCATACAGAAAGACCAAAGGAAAATAATCAATGGTGGGGGAGACGCTGCATTCTGGCTGCTCTGAGACTTATTAAACACGCTTTTGACCTGCATGTCACTAAATGGTCTTTTGGAACATTGCGCAGCACTAATCGGAGGTCAAGTTCTCAAGTTCAGGTCAAGTTACACATCAGCAATTCTCTGTAATATGCAAACGAATCAAAAGGAAATAGTGTCCGATGCGGGTCCGAACCCGCATGAGATTATATGTAAAACAGCCTCCAATTGGGATGCCCATGGGAAGCATACATCTGCGTGTCCTCACGCACTACCTATTGAGCTAACTGGACGTTTTAAAGTGTTGGACGGTTTTCGCTTTATGTATTGGTATAGAGGAACAGAAACAATAATAGCCATATACACATCAACCGTATACACCCCCACTCTGTGCTGACATCGTTTCAAATTGCGCAGCACCAATTCGCTGTTTTATGGCCACCACACTCATTTATGTCCATACACTTAAGTTCTAATTATCTGCCCTATGCACCCAAATTATCTCAAACAAATGCTTGCTGGGCAACCTGGCCAAGGGGCATAGATACTTTACCACTCTCATGACAAATCGTCGAAAGTATCGCCATCCACGTTGTTATCAACATCCGTAGGTTCAGGGCCGGAGTCTGCTGACCCACTGTTGTCAACATTCCCGCAAATGTTATGACGGTCACTGGCGATAATTGTGAGATGCGGTGGCTTCCCCTTCAAGATAGCTCTCAGCTCCGAATCTTTAATTTTGTAACATTGCGACAGATTGAGCGAGGTCAAGTTGATGGCATGCTCCATGATGAAGGATACTCCGGATTTCGTAATGCTTGTACCCCGCACGACCAAATCTTCCAGTAGGGGGCACATTTTGGCGATGCCACGCAAACAATCATCGTCAACCGTGGAGAGTTCGGTAACATCGAGCTTTCGCAGGTTTTGCAGAAAGGGCAAGACCTTGACGAGGGCCTTGCCTGTGATTGCGTGGCAACGGTCTATAGACAGTTCTTCTAGTGATCCACACTTCTCCACAATACCCAGCAAATCATGGACCTGCATTGGGAGACATAATTCAAAATCCAGCCTCGTGCTGAAAGGATTGGGTCAAAGGGGTCAACTCAAGTTATCAAATCAACAGCCAGTAAACCTACAGATTGGGACACAGACTTGCTAACCTGGCTATTTCCGCATAAACAATGTGATCATTGGTTGACCCATACCAGCCCCACTTTTGAACCTTCAGCTCTCAAACGAAACTTGCCAGGTGTGGTTTCCTTTCGAGCGTTTTTAATAGCATCTGAATTCGGCAGTCCATCCGCCGAGATTCCGGAAAGTAAATCGAGCGGTACAGACGAGATTGGGCAACTGGACGCCAAACATGGGATACGGAGCTCAACGCAAGCAAAGTATTAACGTCGTCGATCTGACCCGCAATTTTCGCCGTAAATTCAATCGGTGGTATAGAGCTGGCCATCGTAAAGTCGATTGATTCAGATCAGTTACGGAAAAACTTGGAAGGCCACCAGCGAACTATTTGACAGCTGTCAAGTTGCCATCAATGACCAATGAAAATGGACTGTGCCACACGGTCGTATCGCGGGGTTTTTGTGGAGAGAACGAACACTCATGTACACGTAAAAGTATTGAGGTCTCCCCCAACTCCCTTTGTAATACTTTACGGTTTTCACCACTACGAACAGCCTGCATAACCGTTGCAATCCTCCGAATATCTATAACAGAAAACGTTCTTTCAGAGCAGAACATTCATAGTATGGCCCGTAATCCAAACGTTCGACGCTTTTTGGCCGAACTTGGTGCACTAGGCACACCCGACCACACTACGACTGTCAACTACATCTCATTTGGCACAGCAGACAATCTGGCAGACAATTGATGTACAGAGGGAAATTTCGACATGCGCGGCAGAAATCTTGTGACAACCTCTGAGCAAGCGTTGAATCGTATTTTTACGCTCCCCCACGGTCTTTTCACAACCGGAGGAGTTGTCACTGTCCGAATATTTACTGCCGAACGGGATCCGGTGTCAAACCTTCCCATCAAACGGGTTCGGATGTATCTTGTCGCACCTGGAGGGGCCGAGTGGCAACGAGTACCTGCTGCGCAGGTCCAGCAAGCTTCTTGTACGTATATGGGGCAAGACATTGGCGTTGAACCCGCGGTAATTTACAATTTTGTATGTGCATACTATCGATCAGCATAAAACATCGTATACTGTAGGCACTTTGTACGTTTTGGCAACTTGAGGTTTACCACTTGACATGATAATTGGACAACGATTCTCACCATGATTCATACACGTACGGTTTATGATGGGAATATCCACGTAGCAGGCCCTTCAACCCAAAAACGCGTGTCTCATGAACAAGACCGGTTAGCTCAATGGGTAGAGCGTGAGGACACTTATCGATACGTGTACCCGTGCTTATTCCGTATGGCTACGTACCATACGGAAGCCAGTGTACACACAACCCACCCTCAAGATGCGGGTTCGGACCCCGCACTGGGCATTCTTTCTTTTTTGAATGAGGATGTGTGACTTGACCTCCCATTTTTTCCCTGCATCGCGTGCTGCGCAATCGGAATCGCGTAGGGATGTATACGGTTGAAGAGTGTAATGGAAATGATTGTTTCCCCAAACATGAACCGAAAATCTTTGGTCAATGAAGACACCGCCGCGGTTCATTCTTCTCTCTTGAGGTTCAGAGATGTGTACAAAAAAAGATGGATATCAGACAAAACTCCAAGATCTCCTTTTATGAAAGATTGTAATGCACAATGTTTGCAACTATTCACACCTGTCAATAAAGGCTTGCGTCATTAGAATAATTGCTAATTCTCGTTGCTATGATCATCCGTAGTTGCAGCGGCTGCCCTGCTGCTGTCAACATCCCCATAAACGTCAATTGCGGTAACCTCAGTCTCAGCCAAATCCAACCTTTGGCATGTGACCTGCGTAATTTGGCCGAATAAGGTTAAATTCTCACCATATTGGCTCAAATATCCGCGCAGCACTCCAAGGCTCTTGCATTCTATCCTCAAGCTTCCACAGCTTGTATCAGGCTTGTATTGAACAAACATTCCCTTCCAAGAGTTTTACTACTGTGTTTTCATATTTTTCACCACCAGCATTTGTTTGATTCACACACATGATAGTAGACAGGCTCGCATTATCATGGTAAGGAATAATGAATCTAATGCGCAACTTTGAAATCTGGATGGGGCTATTTATGTTCTTTAAGTGGGGGAAAATATTGGAATCTGACATGTAGGAATACTAAATAATTAGATAGTGCGAACGGTAAAGGAAAAAAGCTATGTTGAATCAAGTTAGGCTTTAATATTCCACCTCTACAACATCAGTAGTATGTACCTGATTACTTTCCGCGGTTGGGACAAGCTATGTGAGAAGCAGCGTGACCCTTTGCTCTCTCTCCTTCACCTAAGCGGCGGCAAGTGCTACATTCAGGAGGTTCCCTTCTTGGGATCGCGACCAGCCGCCGACTGGCAGGGAGAACAGCGAGCCCTTCAGGTATGATGTTGGGCAGGATATTCGGATTAACATCAGGATCAACATTTCCACCTTCCTCAAGAGTGACTGCGCCTGTTAGTGGAGGTGAAGCATGGCCGACGGTTTGCGACACACTTGCAGAAGCCTGGGGTTTGGTGCAATTTGTCCGTACATGACCTGCCTCCCCGCAGTTGCCACAGTTCCGATCTGCCCGGCGAATCTCGGCCTCCACATTTTCAAAACGAATTTTTCTTCGCTTATTGGTGCGCTGGTGGTCGCGTTTTTCGACTCCGAAAGTCGAGGCATTAGGGACTGGAGGTTGCTGAATATCTGAGATGCGCAGCGCATCTTCAGCGGCTTTTGTATGTGTGTCTTGCAGATGCCATCTTTCACGAAAATCCGCTAGCTTCAGCGCCCGTGGGTTGTCGCCTGAGATCATGGGAATTATCTCGTGCGCACACGGTATGCCGAGAACCGTACGGTGAAAAGATGTACAGGGATTCAGGACTGTCGTTTCTTCCAGGACGCGATCTGGATCTTCCCTGGCTGCCAGGATTCGCTTCGCCTTGCGTTTTTCATTTACAACAGTGGTGATAATATGTTCCTGGATTTTTCCTGCCACTGATTTAAAAAAGTCGTCGCTGCGCACGAGCCGTGGAGGATGTGTCTGTGCAGTATTCGCCCCCCGTAGGTATTCGCGAACCGTCCGAGCAGTATTTCTTTTGATGACGTCGTAAAGAGACATAATATTTTGATTGGCGGTGGCGTCCTGCTTTACAGTTGCCCAGTGCATTCCTTCGGCCCGGGAGGTCACCGTTAGGTCACAATGTTGGTAGTTGTCGACAATGTACGATGCCCAGTACTGCCGACGAGACCATTTATTCTTTTTCAAGTATTCAAACGTATCCTCGTGGACCATCTCTTTCACACAGTCCCATTGGTCATTGAAAGTAGATTCAGTTGTCGCGCTTTCAAGTTTATTCCAAGCTCTGCAATTACGATCGTGGGAAACAAGGTGAGTAAATTATGACGCCTGCAATAAGTGGAACCACGTACTTTTTAAAGCTGGCCCAGGCGTTCGCATCATGTTTCCCATCTGCATCCTTAAAATTCTTCATGCAATTGGTAACAATATTTTGCCAAATGTGCCAGCGACACAAGATGATTTTAGTAGTGGGCCAAACGGCCTTGACAGCATTCATAAAGGCCGGATCCGCGTCGATAACAACGACTACGGGCGGTCGGTCCAATTGCTCGTTCAATTTCTGGACGGCGAGCTCATAATCTTGCTGCGTTTCTGCTATCATCAACATAAAACCAGCGGAAAAAGAAGTCTGCGTGTCGGTAACACCAACCACGTGGAGGAGAGGCATTTTATGTCGGTTGGTACGATATGTGCAATCCATTATTAGGACATCTCCAAACCGCCGCATCATGTCGCTGAGTTCCCTCTGTGAACAAGGGAGGGAAGTTAGGTGAAGATTCGACACGCCACTAAAATAAGGCACAGAAATTCACTCACTTGAGGTTGGAAGAACAAATGCGTTAGCACATCCTCGTTGTCCACGACTACTTGCGTGACGATTCCCCTAGCTGCAGCGTCCTTCTCCAACTCTTTCAATAAAGCAGGTACCGGCAGCTCGCCATCAAGACGTTGTTCCATAGCCTTGTCTCGAGCATTCTGGATGTCTTTAGGGGAAATGAGAAGGTCCGGATAACGTCGGGTAAGATCATCCACGACGTGCCGCAACTTTGACCCGCTGAGCAATGAGCCTAGAGCCTCACCCATGATCTGAGGGGTTTGGGTTGCCTTTCGTGCCTGAGAAAACGCCGCCAGAGCTACTCTGTTCAGCGCCGGGTGTCCTTCATGCGTAGTATTCTTCGGCGGGACTCTGCTGGTCCAGTTACTGTCACAGTGCGCAGCATTCTTGTCAAGAATGCTGCGCACTGTGACAGGCATTCCTGGCCTATTAGGGACTTACATTCCTGGCAAGAATGGGGGGGGTATCATTAGTGAAGAATGCCGTGCGCCCAGATTCTTGGTACATTTCTAGCCCGATATCTACCGTGGGAACATTCCTGCAAGAATCCGCCTTCAATCAGTGAAGAATGCCGCGTGCCCCTCCTTCGTTACATTCTTGCATCATCTTGCCCTCAATCAGTGAAGAATACCGCGTGCCACATTCTTGCATCATCTTGCCCTCAATCAGTGAAGAATCCCTCGCCACCTGTTGATACTGTTGTTATCGATAAACTCGCCCCCTTCACGACTCCACCCCCAGCACCACTTGCACACCCCTTCACAAGCTCCGTCAAAGCAACATACCAGCCACCGTCCACCGTCCTTACGAAACTGATGTGCGCGAGGGAGGCCTCGTCGTCGTCGCTTTGGAAGCTCCGTCAAAGCAACATACCAGCCACCGTCCACCGTCCTTACGAGCGCCCCGGCTCTTTGCAATTGAGACTCTCTTCGAAACTCGAGCTCCCAGTCACGTGACCTATTGCAAAAACGCGCCATTGAAACAAAGACTCTAGCCTTTCCCAGCATCCATCTTCAGCATTCACTCAACAGTATCCTATTAGTAACTCATCTGTTTCTGACCCGCTTTCAGCTGCAACTGGGGATTCTAACCTTCTATCCAACCTAGTCACTTTTTCGATGTGGCCAATATCAAAATTCTGTATCTTCTTTCGAGGCAGCTGTGAGTGAACTTTTCCAAGTTTTTCTCTTCTTACAACCCTTCAAAACTGGATAGAATGGCTAGAAGGCTAGAATCAAAGATTCTATATATGAAAACATACAAGTTACTAATAAAGATCGACCATTGGTACTTTTTTCATAGCTAGATTTTTACTAGTTTTTAGCTTGCCAGCATCACTTGTCAGAAGTCTACAAATTGCAGATCGATTCGGCAGTTCCCATCAAACGACAGATTCGACCCGGTCCACGTTAGCGTGAACGTGTATTGTATGTATGTGTGTATGTGTCTGGCAAACGCGCACTTTAAAATACTGGATAGTTATCTGGAAACCAGATGCACAATGGCCACAGAACAACGCAAACACGTCCAGCTTCTAGGCAATGACGTCTTCAATGCAACGACGGCTGTTAGCGACGCTGCGTTATCGATAAACTCGTCTCCTGAAAGGCCAGCGTCCGCATCATCACTTGCCACACTTTTGCGTATGAGTGTTACAATTATCTTCTGTTCTTTGTAGCATAGAACGACAACTCTCATTGATACATAATGTCGCATAATCGCTCCGACTGGGATAGTATGGATTGTGAATCTGTCGCAGAGAGTGACTCTGAATCTGTCGCAGAGAGTAACTCGACAGCTTGCGATAGTTCAAGTGATGAATTTGAATGTGAACTAATTGAGGCTATGTCAGGACAACGAGCTCTTAACTAACTTTGCTCAGTTTTTTCTTAGAGAGTGCTTGCAAGCCGAAATCCAGCGACCCCACTCAGGTGCATGCATGCTCAATTTGCTACAAGCTTTCAACCAGTACACGTGTATGTATTTCCCACTGACTCAAGCGTTTGCAGATCTCGTCCAGGACGAGACCGCCTGCTTACACCCTGACACAATATTGGCCCTAAAACTACTTCGAATCTCAGTCTTGGCTACTCCGTGATATCGGAATCCGGGATTGGCACCCGCTTGAACCCTGGCTTCTTCTTTCTGAATTTACCCTTATACTTCGTGTGCAGTGACTGAATTGCCACTTCCATCTCCAGCCAGGTCAGAATCTCGCTATCTATACCCGGAATCTGTTTCACGTCATTTATGAATTGAACCTTGTCTTCTTCTTTGACAATTTTACCGAACAATTCCATAATGTGTGCCCGAGTAGCTGACACGGGCACGTCGGAAGCAGAGTAATACATTATTGGTTATTGCTTATGTACTAGAGACTGAGAGAAATAATTACCTTCGACGCAGATGTGCAAAACTGTACTCATATGTGACGACAACGAAATAAGCCTACGGATCG